CACCGTTCTGTCCACGCAGTTGTCAAAGTGCTGCAGCACCAGGACGATCTCGTTGTTGCTCCGGTTGGGGACGATGGCGCGCACGGCGCTGATCTGGAGGGAGGGAAACGGGGGGGACGTGTGAACCGTTTGCGTTATCCCGCACGGAGCCTCCAGCAACCCTCCTGCAAGCAGGCGAGAAGCCGTAACCGATGACTTCCTTATCAAACTTTAATGTGCCGGGATGATTTAGCCTGAATCAAATTTTGCTTTTGACAGAGCTGCAGTTTGCTCCCAGACAGAAACATATTTCATCTCGGAGAGGAGATGAAGACACAGCGATCACGAGCTCTTCCACGGCACGTGGTGAGTTAAAGTCTCGGAAGACACATTTACCTTCTCCTTCATGTTTTCAAAGGTTCCTCCTTGGGCCATCACAGTGTTGGACTGCACATCAAAGATGAACCCAGACGGATCTGCGAAGACAAAGGAGAGGGAAGCTCTTTTCTGAACAATCGGCGCCGAGAGACATTTAGAAAGACACGGAGCCAGAGGTCAGCTCCGAGCTGTTACTTGGCCAAGGAGAAAAATTTAAATCCTACGAACGTACGGTGTTGGCTGGCTGGTTCTGTCGCAGGGCTGGCAGAGGAATAGCAGCTGCTGCGAGTAGAACGGATCGCACCCCAGCCTCGTGCAAGGACCGGATTCTGTGCGGACACGGCTGAACCTGGTTCTGCCAGCGCTCCCAGCGCTGAACTGGAGAAGCCGATTCACTCCTCGGCTCTGGGTCAAACCCAAATCCAACCGCGGATCAGAACCGCCAGCCAAAAACCACACACGCCCCAACAGAGCCGGTGTGCAGATCACTGAAGCAGACCAGACCAGTACCACTCCTGTTTCCATACTAATCTCTTACTGAGCCCAGCAAAAAAAGAGTTAACGAAAGCGCCAGAGCCTTCCAGCGCCGTGGTTAACAATTTCCTCCGCCCGCAGATACAAATGGCAACCAGACTGATAAATGGGTTTGAAGATCCAGCAGCTTGTGCTCCCTGCCAGCTGCCATCTCCGAGGTAATGCCTCTCCGTTCCAGAGCAGACCCGTAATCGAGGCGGCCATCACCAACAGGTTTGCTCCCCGCCAGCGAGCAAAGGTCACATAAATCTGCAGGTCCTGCCACCTCACCCAGCCCTCGCCAGCGCCGCGGAGCACGAACTCGCGTTCCGTTTTCCTGCCAAAGGTCGGGAAAAAATCTCAGGTTTGCTAAAGACAAGGGACGCAGCTGTTCATCGGTGTGTTTTACTACGGCAGAACATGCTTCCAACTGGGATTTGAGCCCCGTTCGGAATCGGGAAGAACACGTGGCCCTGGGCAGGGGGTGACAGCAGGACCCTAGAGGTTTCCAGTGCTCCTATTTGGCATCACCAACCCGTTTCCAGGGAGTTCACGGGCACATTTCCGCGGAAGGCGTTTGCTTGCGTGAGCTTTGCTGCCTCCAGCCCTGCGTGGAGCCAGGGAAGCTCCATGGAAGGAGATCACCTTCCATGGAGGTGGCTTCCTACAGCTGCTGCTTTGGGAATCTCCTGGGGGAAGGGACACTTGCAGCAGGTCAGGGTGCTCCGCGGGGACGCTCCCTCGGTCACTGCCCCTTCCGGCTTTAGCTCGGCGGATATTCCGAGCTGCTGATTCATGTTCTCCCCCTCGCCTGCTCCAAATAACTCGTACGCGATCCCGAGACACACCATTGACTCCCGCGGTCCCAGACATTGATGTAGCATTTAAACCACGATGCCTCCAAACACAGTGACAGAACCGTGAGCATGATGGAAAGGTCAGCCTCTTATTAAGGCCACAGATGAACGGTTAAATTCCTCCTCGCCCGTTTCAGCCCCATGAGCAAGATTTTCTCAAGTTTCCCAAGCTCACACGAGTTCCAGTTACCGACTTTCTAGTCCTTCATCTTGTAAATGGCTTTCAGACCCCCATCACTGGGAGAGAATTAGCAATCTTTTCTCAAAATCTTCATCGCAGAGCAGCCACCGAGGACCCAGGTGCCAGGGAAGATGAAGTTTCGCCCCCCCGTGCGGCACGTTTTCAGCCTCTCAATCCCATCCCTTCCCCACCTCTCCGTTTGCGCTCGGTCTTACGAGGGACTGAGCTTATCGGCACCTCGCTCCGAGCCGCAACTCCAGCCCGAGTCCTCCCGGCCTCAAAACGTTTATCATGCACAAATTATGCAGCGGAGACGACACGGTGCACATTTGATATCGCCCCCGGGCGCTCCCAGGCATCATTAGAAGGGCTGCTGGCACGCGGGGCTCCCGCCGCGGCGACCATCTGCAAGAAGGGGCAGAATTTAAAACGCTCGCGGCGCCCGCGCGGGCAGCAGCCGGGCGGGCACCGGCGACTCCCAAGATTTTCTGGATTCACAGCGTTGTGGGAAAGGAAAGCTCCTTCCCGAAGCCAGGGCTCAGGCGAGGCGTGTTGTGCCCGGCACGATGCATCAGCCGGACGCTCGGACCGACGGCTGTGGCATTAAATCACGCACCGCGCGGTGCT